TTCCTTTCAAAATGAGCCTTCCCGTCTATGTATGTGGCTGCCTCAGTCCTCCCTGGGCCATTACTTGCAGCATTCGCATCCTTTATCCTGGTCTGTCTGGGTTACACAGCCAGGTCTGCAGCCTTCCCGTGGGGACCACCCTCCCACCCCCACCTCACCCTGATGGTCTGTAACCACCCAGAGCATCCCTCAGTTCGCTGGAGGATTGGGGGTGCAAGGCTGGGAGGGATGCCGGGCGGGGGAGGGGGGACGTGGCAGGACCCCTGCTCTCCCTCTGGAGGGGTGAACCTGCCCGCCAGCAGGGCCTACCTGCGCCCGAGCACTGCTGAGACAGCATCCCTTCTAGAGCGGCCACGTAATCGGGGCCCAGCCACGCCCGGTACGTGGTTTTCTCCCCGACAGGCACCGCCCGGATCGTGGCATCCTTGAAAAGCAGGTCTTGGCCATGATAGTTGGAGGAGTCGAACATTTTGAAGCCATTCTTATTGTAGTCATCTCCAAACAGGTCCTGAAAGCACCCACGGCCACTCAGCGGCTGCTTGCTATCTGTGGCTTTTATACAGCGAACCAAGGAGCAAGGAAATTCAGGGCACCCAGGCTGACTTGACATCATAAGCCCAACAACTCATCGAGCTGTCATCAAAGGGGATTTGGAGTAAAGCTATGATGACAGCTACCACAGTAAGAAGGATCCAAGTGGCCACCAATCTTTTGGGGGGCTCAAAGATGCTCGAGGATCCAAGGATCCGAGGATCCGAGGACCCAAGGACAGGTCAGCCTTCTCTCCAGGAAAATGCCACATTGCCACAGGGTTCTTCTTCCCCATGTCACTTCCGAGGGGAGAAGGGGAGATGGGAGAGAGGAAGGGAGATGGGGAGGTGGGGGGTGGGGGGTGGCTGGGAACCGAGGGCCCTGTTGGCAGACAGTCTGGGGTCCTTCTAGATGTATATGGAAAGTACAGCCAACGGGATTCGTAGAGGGGCTAGCTGTAGAATGCGGGAGAAAGACAGGAGTTCAAGATGACTCCTGAGGAAATGGGAAGTCTGAAGTTGCCATTCAGAGCGGGGGGCAGGGGAGTCTGAGGGAAGCAGGGCAGGCCAGCTGCGGGCTTGTTCGGGCCGAGGAGCCTGTTAGAAATCCTAGTTGAAATGTTGTTCAAGATGGAAGGGTGGGATGAAGGCAGGGCTGATGATGTGTTTGGAAGCTGTCAATATATAGATGGCTGTTAATGACATGGGGCTGGGTGGTCAACAGGCATGTAGGTGCAGGTGAAGAGGGTTTAGAATGGAGCCCTGGGGCAGTCCGTGGATAGAAGCCAGGAGAAATGAGGAGGAGAGCCAGGCAGCTGTGGACCCGGGAGCCAAGGGGAGAAGCTCCTCCAGCAGGCGGGAGCTGTGGCCAGTGCTGCTAAAGGGTCAGGGACATGTGGGCTGAGAAACAGCCCCTGGACTGAGCACCACGGGCCACTGTGATTTTGTTCCGGGCAAGTTCAAGGCCCTGGTGGGGGCCTGTCTAGAGTGGAGAGACCAGAAGGAGAGGAATTGGTGACGTGAGTAGAGATGACCCTTTGAAGGAGTTTTACTCTAAGAGGGGTGGGATTAGGGCTAAAATTAGACGTGGAATCAAGAGGGGGCTCATTTGTTTTTTAAAGATGATAGAAACAACAGCAGGTTTGTATGTTGGTGAGAACAGTCCGGCTGAGAAGGAAACAATAATGCAGGGCACAGAAGGGATAGTTAGAGGAATGGTTTGACTAAGTGAAAATCTCAGAACGTTCCCCCAGCCTTCCCCGGTTTGCTCCAGGTAGAGTGAGGCACCCAGGGCCCTGGCTCACCTCGTCGCCCACCCTGCAGTGACGAAGCCCCCGCCCTGGCTCACCTGGGCCTTGTCCAGCAGTCCATACACGGTGAAGATGTTGGTGTCCGGCCGGACCATGACGGCATGGGATGGCATCTGTGCCAGATTGCAGGCTGCGAACTGGGACACCTCGGCCCGGGCCCCATTGGGACACAGCAGCTCATAGTCCTCTGACCTTAGCTCAGCAGCCCAGGGCTCAGAATTATGGCCTGAGGGGAGGGAGCAGAGGGACAGAGGAATAGAGGCTGCTTTCCTCCTGGGACCCCAAATCCTTGACCTGGCAGAGGTGGCCATGTCTGGCCAGCTTCCCAACTCCATTCCCCAATCGCTCTGCTAACACTGGTCGGAGCCTCTGCGGGTGGGGAGCAGGGAGCACCTAGAACGGAGCAGGCATTTTACAAGCACCTGCTCTAGCCTCAAGACAGTAACACCAAGTGAGTATGATCACCCCCATTTCACAGGTGGAAAAACTGAGACTCTTAATCACTCCCAGGCAAAGAGCCCCATCTAGGTGTTCCAGGTCTTGGGCCTGAGGTGAGGTGGGCTTCTGAAGGTGGTGGGTGACATCTTCCCCTAATGGTTAAAGTTCTCAAACCGGACAAGGTAGAACAACATCATGTGTTGATCTGTGAGAGGCAGTTTCAAAGGTACGGCTAGGGTGGGGCCCAGGAATCTGTGTTTTAAACCAGCAACCCACTGAGGCTGAAGCAGGGGGTTGGCCCAAGGGCTTCCTCAGAAACACTGCTCTTGGGAATCCCATTAGTTTTGTGTCTTCAGGTATTCACTTAGTATCCACCCTCTTCCCATTTCCAAAAGGAATTCCAGGTGGGCCGCAAGTAGAGATAAAACGAAAGGGAAAGGAGCAGCCCTGGGAGGTGGGGGCCTTGCTGCAGGTGAATCTTGAGAGGGCCCCTCCCCTAGCCCTATCACAGAGGGCGGGGGCCAGACAGGGCTCAGTCCTCCTCCCCTTTGGAACACATTATGCCTTTCTGCCCTGAGTTTTTGGGAAGAATTTCTGAGTGGAGAAGACTGTGCCTCCAGCATTTGGGGTTTCAAAGCCTGGGTAGAGGCAGGGTATAGAGAAAGAACAAACAATAGGTGTTGGGAGGCAAAATGGAAGGAGGGAAGTGAGGCACTCTAGAGGGCCCTGCACCCTGAAAGGATGCAGGTGTGGGCTTAGGGAGGCCTGGGGCATAGAGTTTCGGGGCTCTTTTTCCCAGGTAGGGCCCAGGAAGGTGACTGCAGAGAAAAAGCCACCCATGTGATGTGAATGGGAATGTGCCCTGCCTCGCATGGCTTAGGAGCTGCACAGTGATTTCCCCCCACGAGGCATTGACCAGCTCAGGACCAAAGCCCAGATGCCCACATGCACTGATGACCCTGCCACTCCCACCATGCACCTCGGTGCCACATAAATGCCCCAGAAGGAGTCTCTCCCAATTGACTGAGGTGGAGTTTTACCATTTTGGTGGAATGGAGATTTTGGTTTCTAGACCAGTAAAGACTGTCATGTGTCCTATGCACCTGGACATGTGGCCTGAGGTCTGTTCTTACTGAGAGGACCCTGGAGTCCCGGGTGGCCCCCCAGGGGCAGAGCCTTCTAGCCCCTGTCTTTCCCAGCTGCTGCTTCGCCCCAGTCCTAGCAATGCCCAGTGCCTGGACCATTTTGGAGATGGGGAAGAGCTCCCAGAGAATCCGGCCCCGCTCTGGCCCCAGCCCCCCTCACGTACCATTTGTGTTTTCAAAGACAGTCGTGTGTTTGACGAAGGCGACGTCCCCTGCATTCTCAGCCAGGCACCTGCCGCGCGAGAGGCCAAGGCCAGTGTTGGCAGGGCGGCCCCGGCCCCTGCGCCGGCCCGGGGCCCCCCCGCCGGGCCACCGGAGTACCTGAAGGCGCCACTGTAGCCGTAGAACCTCTCCTGGCTGTTGCCCACACACTTGTTTCGGCCCTGCTCGTCCCCCACACAGAGCGCGCACAGCGAGGATGGGTAGTTCTTGGCATTGTTCACGGGCACGCAGCTGGCGCTGAAGAACTCGCTCACGGCTGGGGCGGGCGGGGGGGGCAGGGCTGAGTCAAGGGGCCCGCCGAGGGAAGAGCAGCAGGGGGAAGAGGGGAGGGCTGCCCCCCACAGATCTGCCCACTCTGCCTGGCCCTGCGGCTCAAGGCCACCCATCTGTCCACTGCCCACCCAGCTCAGGCACATCTCCTCCTGTGAGAATTGTAGGGATGAGGGAGTACAGAGGCTGTCCTGATACAGTAACCCCATGGACAACCTCTGGTTAGTCGTCACCCAGCCTTCCCTTGGACTCCCTCAGGGATGGGGAACTCACTACCTCATAAGCTCTTCTGTTCCAGTCAGGGCAACTGCCCAGCTGTGTAGGAGTGGGAGCAGCCGACCCTAACACTCTCTGTGTGCTCGTGGAGGTGGTTAGAAAGAAATGTGGTTTTTTCCTGAGGTGCCAGACAGGACAGAGGTGTGTGCACAGTCAGCCCAGGATCTTGCCAGCTTCCTACTGCCTTCCTTTCATCATGACTGTGTGTGATTTAACACGTAGGGAGGGCCCTGGGTATGGCATATGGTGGCCGCTTGGTAAATGCGTCTTCTTCAGCACTTATACAGATGGCTGGCCACTTTCCATAAAGGTCCCCCAGATGCCCAGAGGCTGCTGGGATACGGGGACAGCCCCATGACCGGACGGTGATCCAGCCGGGCCCACAGCCCACGCACATCCCCTGCTCCTCATGCCCACTGGAGCCAGGTCCACGCTGGGTAAGTGGGTTAGGGGCACCATGGCACCCTCCACAGAACAACCAGACACCCCTCAGACTGTTACAAGTGTAGCCAAGAATATTTCCCAACCTTCCCAAGAGAATGGGGCACATCAGGGAGGAAGAGGAAACCTCTCTGGGCTGCTCTGTGGGACCCTGCTGGGGGGAGGGCTCCCAGACCCTCAGACCCAGCAGACCCCCAAAAAAGAGTTTGCACGTCTGTGTCCCCGCAGAGGGTGGTACCTGTGAGGACATCGCAGTCCTTGGGCCGGATGAAGCCCCTCTGCACCAGGGCGCCCACGGGGACGTCCCAGCCCGCGGGGCTGCGGAACCCTGAGTGGCAGGAGCGCTTGCCCCGAAGCTCGTCCAGAGTGAAGGCGTAGGAGCTGTTCCGCTTCACGACGGCCACCACAAAGTAGGCGTTGCTATTGTCCTCCGCTGTGGGGAGGGGACGCCAGTGAGGCCCCTCATCTGTGCTTGCCTGGCCTGGCCAGGCAAGAGCCCGGGGCATGTCCCCTCGTGCCCTCAACCCATTCCGTCAGGCGGCTCCTGCCTCAGAGCTGTGGTCCCACCCCGAGCACCTCTCCCCGCTTAGTGTCGGGACCCCGGCTGCACATCCAGCCGTGGGACCCCTGCTTGTCCCCCACAAGGCTGAATTCTGTCTCCGCTTTTCAGAGTTCTGTCTCCCCCAACCTACCCCCTATCATTCCTCACCCAAAGGGACTTTTCTTTCCTTACACCCAGGCGGTACATTTCTCACTTCCTGGGAGAAAGGCGGGGGCACAGCTAAGGACTGCAGAAGCATTTTTCGAAAGCCCAGAGATTTTTCACATCCAAGTGGAAGGACCTGAGGTCACCACTTAGGAGGACAGAGCACCAAGGTCCCAGCCCAGGCCACTGGAAGGGGGGGTCCCCAGGGCCACCTTCTGTGAGCCACAGTGGGTAGGCGGGAAGGGCAGAGGAGGCCCTCTCGTCGAGGGGGTGGCAAATACTCAGCCTGTTTTTGTACGGCCTGGCTTAGAAGCATAAAATGGTTTTTATATTTTTAAAGGGTTGATTGTAAAAAAAAACAAAACTAACAAGGACTGTGTGGCCTGCAAAACCTAAAATGTTTACTCTCTGGCCTTTTACAGAAAGTTTGCCCACACCTGCCAGACTTTTAATGACTCAGTGGGAAAACTGAGGACTGAGGCAGGAGGGCTTGCCTGTGACAGACAGCAACCCGCCCCGGGAGAGAGGCCGTGATGGGGAGCTTTGGAAAAGGGCCCAGGGGGGAAACTGATACCCAGATGAAACTGTCAGCTGCCTCCTAGCAGCGGCCAGGGCCCAGCCCCTGCACTCACGGGCATAGTGTTCCCCCGCTGCTGGGACCAGGCCGTATTTCTTTCCTGCCATGTAGATGTCTTCGCCCTTCAGGGTCACGGCATCGATTTGCCCAGCCTGAAGGGGGACAGAAAGGGCGACCGGGCAGGGGAGGGGTCGGGACCTGACAGAGGTGCCAGGGTTGGGTCTCTCAGGCTCTCTTCCCTGGGGGCCCCCCGCCCCGCACCCCTGTGAGATTGTGGGCCAGAGAGGGGTTTGGAGGACCAGAGGCGAGAAAGCCGCCGGCACTAATGCTCCATCTGGGGGGTCTGCCGCTCCTGTGGCCGGGCCCTGTTCTGAGCAGACCTGTGCACTCTCTCTGCCCTCCCTGGGGACTGCGGCCCGCAGAGGCCTGGGCCACGGGCTGGTGCATGACACAAAGGCAATAGGTATTTGCTCAATGTGTGTGCGAATGTATGAACGAGCCAGGCCTCAAAAGACAGCAGTTTCGTGGTTAAAGCTCTGCCCCAGGAGGCAGCAGGAGGGGCCCAGGGCCTCCTTCTTTCCACCCTCCTGAAGCACCCCAGGTTTCCCCTGCTCCACCCATCTTGTCTATTCCGAAGCCTCTGGACAGGTGGCCCCTCAGACCTGAGCAGGGGTTCACTAATAATCAAGACACAGTAGTGTGACAAACCCCAGGGAAAGGGGGTGGGGCGGGGGGGGAGAGAGGGGACAGCTGCCCCCAGGAAGGTGCCCCACGCCGTTCAGGCCCAGGGGCATGAAGTTGTGATGCTGGAATAACAGGCAGGGATGTTGACTTTTGAGCCTGGAGCGTCCATCTCTGGGGGCCCTCTCTTCCCCCCACCCAGACCTCCTAGCCGCTGGGGGGGCACGGCAGGACCCAGTCTAGCTGACACCCCGTTCCCTGGGCCCCTGTGGCTGGGAAGGAGATGGGGGTCAGAGCTCCATTGGACACCACCCCTGAGAGCCTGAGAACTAAGCATCTCTGAGCCTTTTGCTGGGGTTCTCGAGGAACCCCCAAGTCCGCTCCTCTCCTCCCTTGGCCCTGTTTGAGTTTAGACAGAGAGAAGGCTCTTGCCTGTAGGGAGCTGAACCCTTCCTCCTGCATCTCTCCCTGTTCTGCAGCCTGTGGACCCAGCCACCCCACACAGGATCCTGTTTCCTCTCACAGAAAGGGGATAACTGTGCCTCTTTCACGGGGCTGTGAGGTGGCTTGAGGACGGCCTGCCCTCTACCTCCAGTCTCCCCTTCCTCCATTCCAGCTGAGCGCCCCCTCCCTCAGCACTACCCGTGGTCGGGGTCGGGCCAGCCTCCTTGGGCCCCTGGCGCGAGGGGCTCCCCCACCCTGAGCTGGGTGACTGTGGGCAGTTGCTTCTCCAGCCTCTCCCAGCTTCGGTTTCCTGACAGTGATCACAGCACCCCAGAGTGCTGCTGTGAGGATTAAGTGAAGGGGTCCTCGGGAAGTCTTAGCGTAGCGTGCAGCACACGGCATGCACATGCTTGCGAGGCTGTCCTCTGTCGTGATCCTGGCCTCCTGTTATTCCTGCCCACTCTCCTCCTCTTGGCCTTTAAGTCAGTGTGGTTGCCTGGCTGGGGCAGTGTGGACACTCCCGAGGGGCAGTGGTCTGGCCTGCACTCGGGGATTGCCCTGATAAGGGCTCCTGACCTGAGGCCCCACCTACGCGCTCTTAAAAAAGAGGAGGGAGGGGGCGCCTGGGTGGTGCGGTCCGTTCAGTGTCCCACTCTTGCTTTCGGCTCAGGTCATGATCTCAGGATGGTGAGATCGAGCCCCATGTTGGGTTTAGCACAGAGTCTGCTTGAGATTCTCTCCCTCTGCCCCTTCCCCTGCTCGTTCGCTCTTTCTCTCTGAAATAAATAAAGTCTTAAAAAAAAAACAAAAGGGGGGCGCCTGGGTGGCTCAGTTGGCTAAGCGACGGCCTTCGGCTCAGGTCATGATCCTGGAGTCCCGGGATCGAGTCCCGCATCGGGCTCCCTGCTCGGCAGGGAGTCTGCTTCTCCCTCTGACCCTCCCCCCTCTCTCATGCTCTCTCTCTCTCATTCTCTCTGTCTCAAATAAATAAATAAAATCTTTAAAAAAACAAAACAAAACAAAACAAAAACAAAAGGGGTGCCTCGGTGGCTCAGTCGTTAAGCGTCTGCCTTCGGCTCGGGTCATGGGATTGGCTCGGGTCCTGGGATCGAGCCCCTCGTTGGGCTCCCTGCTCGGCGGGAAGCCTGCTTCTCCCTCTCCCACTCCCCCTGCTTGTGTTCCCTCTCTTGCTGTGTTTCTCTCTGTCAAATAAATAAATAAAATCTTAAAAAAAAAAAAGAAAGAAAGACAAAGAAAGAGGAGGGAGGAGTCCAGGAAGCTAGAGGCCGCTGGGACACCTGTGACCAGGGTAGCACGCTTGCCTGCAGGGCCCCAGGGCCACCTCCAAGCTCTGTTCAGACTCCAGTGAGAGAAGCAAAGCAGGGCAGGGCCCTTAACTGCAGCTGGGGAGCGGCGTAGTAGATGCCAAAGCAACGTAACGGGCCATGACAAGCTTAGAAACAAAGACTAGGACGGAATACGATGGACAGTGTCAGGGTACATTGTACTCCGTGAGGGTCAGTACTGTTTTGTTTCATGCCTTTCTACTGGAGACCACAGGACGAGCAGTGCCCAGCTGGGCTGGTCTCCTGATGTTCCTTCTGCTCTCAGCTCACCCACTCAGCGAGGAAGGGTTCCTGGGTTCCCTGAAAGGAAAGAGCCCACCCCCCCCCCACCTTCAGCCCTGTCCACTGGGGTGGGGTGGCTGGTCCCTGCCGGTCCTTCCTCCTCCCTTTTCTCTGTGAGGTTGTCACGGGAGACTGCGTCCCCAGGCGGCCTCCTTCAGACCAGGTGGCACAGGGGAAGGGCTGGTAAGGACCGTCCCGGGCGCGGCCCCCACCTGGATCCATTCCATGCAGTGCTGGGGAGACTCAGCGGACACACACTGGATCTCTGGCTTGAGCCTCTGCCGGCTGAAGGCCACAGCCATGTCTCCACACTTCTGGATCTCGGGAGTGGACAGCACACACCAGCGTAGGTAGTGAGGTAGCCCTGTGTGTGTGCGAGCTTGTGGTCACCACCACACTTACCTGCTCAGGGGCTAGCCCCGAGCATGGCCCGTGGGCTGGGGTCATGGGGACTAGTACCTCAGTAGGAAGAGCCTGAAGTCAGACCCAAGGGAAATTCTGGCTCTTTCCCTCATTAGCTATGAGGAGTAAGTTATTTAACCCTCTGATCCTGTTTCCTCTCACAGAAAGGGGATAACTGTGCCTCTTTCACGGGGCTGTGAGGTGGCTTGAGGCCGATCATGGCTGTCATGTGTCTAACTGGGTGGCAGACCATCTCCCTGCTGTAGGGGGCAGGAAGCAGGAAGCCCATTTGTAGACTACTGCAATGGTCCAGCCAACACACAACGCCTGAGCCAGGGCCTTGGCTGTGGGGTGGGGAGGAGGAGGCGTGAGGCACTGAGGAAGGAGCATGCGGGCACTTGATGACTTCTGTGTGGAGGGGCAAGGAGATTCTTCCCAAGACAGACCCTGATGGTCTGGATCCCACCCCTTGGAGCAGACGGGGCATCCAGGGTACAGCAGGCCATGCAACTCTGGAACAGCTGCCTCCCTACACCCCCAGAGGCAGGGAGGTGGAAGTCATCGGTTCTCATGGAGGCCAAGGGGCACAGCTCCTGGGGTGAGTGTCCTTTCCCAGCTGCCTCCCCAGAAAGCACTGCCATGCCTGTGCTCAGGCTGGCCCAGAGCCTGTGGGACGAGAGATGGGTGGACTTACGGTTGGGATCACAGAGGAGACCCTTCATGGCATGCAGGTACTCGCGGCCCAGCCAGGCCTCATAGGTCTGCGTGGCGATGGGCACGAGCTCGGAGGTGGAGTCTTTGAAGAGCAGGTTCTTCTGGCCGTAGGCCTCAGAGCTGAACATCTGGAAACTGCCGCTCTCGTGGCTGAAGAGACGCTGCGTGTCCAGGGATGGGAGTGGGGGCTGGTGAGGTCCTGCTGGCAGGGAGGGCAGCACATCCCTTCCTCCTGGGCCAGCCAGCAGCTCCTCCTTCCTGCGCCCCCTGGCCGGGCGCCCACTCTGAGGACCAGGTGAGGCACCACCCCCCTCCGTCCTCCGTGCTCCCCCAGTGCACTCCGCCTTGTCACCCTCACAGCCCAGGTGTGGAAGGGACTGAGGGTGCGGGACGGGGCTCGCCGTGGTGGCATGGATGGGGCAAACCTAGCTAGAGCCAGGCTGCCCGGTCAGAAAGGTGTTGTTCTTGTGAATAGTGACGTCAGCCCGACATTATTCACATTTAATTAATGGCGTACTTTGACGTTTGTTGGCTTTGTCATTCTGTTTATTCGCTCATATACTCTGGTTTTTCTTTTCTTTTTTGTCTATAAGTAAACCACTTTATTTATTTAATTTTATTATGTTAGTCACCATTCAATACATCATTGGTTTTTTTTTTTTTCCTTTGAAGTCATTTTTTAATAGTGCAAATATTCTATTTTATTGATTTTCTATAATTTATTTATGTAGCAATTGAGGAACATTCAGATTATTGTCAATACTTTTTCCCCTATAAACAATGTTTCCACACTCTTGTACAATAATCTTTTTTCTGTTATAGGAAAAATCCCAAATGTGGGGTTATTGGGTCAAAGGTTATCAACAGTTTGTATTTTAATGACATTTGCTCATATACTCTGGTTTTACTTTTAAGAGCCACAGACACGAGCAGCTTTCTCTGAGCGGTGCCTGCGTCCCTGGTCTGCCTCTCTGGCTGGCCCTCCTCGCTTCCCGAGGCCGGGCTCTCCCCTCTCTGGCTGCCAGCTCACACAGCTGGTCCCTCCTTCACACCGAGGTTGGACACCACAGAGATCTCCCCAGCTGTGGTCTGGCCCAGGGGAGGGTCTCTGAGTCCTGCCCCTCTTGGCCTGGCTGGCCCAGCCCCATGATGGCTCTAGCCCGTGCTCCCACCCTGGCGAGAGACAGGAAGGTTCGGTACCATCTGGGAAGCTGTACAGGGGTGGGGTGGGGGGGCTGCCCTGAACTCACCTGGCCTTCGTTGAGCAGCCGGAACATGAGGCCCCCGTCAGTGTCGGCCCGGACCACCACGGCGTGAGCAGGCACGCGGGCCAGGTGGCATCGCCTCCATTCGGTGACATCGGCCCGGCTGCCATCCCGGCATAACAACTCAAAGTCCTGGGACAGCAGCGCCTGGCCCCAGGAGGGAAGAGTTTTCCCTGGGAAGATGGGAAGCCTGTGGTGAGCCAACTTCTGTCCTGGGAGGGGTTTGGGAAGGGCCTCAGGAAGGCCCAGGAAAGGGAGCTGGGCAGAGGCTAGGGTGGAGAGGGCCACAGACTCATGGTGAAAAGAAACTCTTCCAGGAGGTGAAGACCCAGAGCTGGGAATGACAAGGAGCTTGGGGACTGCATTCCACAAGACCAGGTGTCTCAAGAGACTGTCATTATTGACTTGCATTTCCGACCTCTCACCAGTTTCTATAAAGCACATGGCTTGGAGGTATCTGACGATAATACAGCACATATAAACAGGACTGTTCATTAACGTTAAGAAGACTAAGAGAATCAGGGGAGCTCAGGGAGAGAGAAATGTACCAGGGGGTCCCTGCTGCCCTTGGGCACTCGATTTGGCTCTGAGCAGTGGACAGGGGCCACAGTGGGAACACAGCCGGACAGAATGGACCAAGAACAGTAGCCCGAGAGGAAAGGGTAGCTTTCCAAAGCTTTGCCCACGCATTAATCCAATATTACTCTATTCATGTTTTGGGATATTTCCTCCAAGTCGTTTTTTCTATTTTCTAATCATTTCTAACATGATTAAGGACATACCTGATAGGCAATCTTGTATCTTACTACTTTTTTTTTTTTAAGATTTTATTTATTTTTCAGCAAGAGATACAGCGAGAGAGGAAACACAAGCAGGGGGAGTGGGAGAGGGAGAGGGAGAAGCAGGCTTCCCGCAGAGCAGGGAGCCCAATGCAGGGCTCCATCCCAGGACCCTGGGATCATGACCTGAGCCGAAGGCAGATGTCCAACGACTGAGCCACCCAGGTGCCCCATCCTACTACTTTTTTTAAAGATTTATTTATTTACTTGAGAGAGAGAGAGAGAGAGAGAAGGGGGAAGGGCAAAGGGAGAGAGAAAGAATCCCAAGCAGACTCCCCGCTGAGCATGGAGCCCGATACAGGGCTCTATCTCACGACCCATGAGATCATATCTGAGCCAAAATCACGAGTCGGACGCTCAACTGACTGAGCTACCCAAGTGCCCCACTACTTTTTTTTTAAAAAAATTCTTTATTTAAGTAATCTCTACACACAATGTGGGGCTTGAACTCATGACCCCAAGATCAAGAGTCGCACGCTCCACTGACTGAGCCAGCCAGGAGCCACTCACATCATACTTTTTTTTTTTCACTTGTCATTTTAAAGTATTTTCCCCCACCCTTTTGGAAATTTTCCATAAAACTCATTTATAATAGAAAGCCAGATTTATTTGAGTGAATATCGACACCAGATAGGAATATTAAGAAGACAAATTTTAAAATTGTAACTCAACAGATGGTCTTATATAACAATATTTTTATGACTTTTAAATTTTTCAAATGAGGAGGATAAGACTCTGCTAGGAAATAGGAGGGGTAAAAATAATTTGTGGGGTCCTGAAAACTCTTCACTCCAAAGCTATTTCAAAACAAAACCCAAAAACTGAGAGTCATAGTTTGGAAACCTCCACGAAGGTCACGTTTAATGACTGCGTGGTCGTTTATAGCACTCTCAATAATCACCCTGTGCCATATTCTCACCTCCCTCCCCAGCTCTCTACTTTTCAGCTGCTGCAAAGCCCTTGTGTAGAGCTCTGGGGGATCATCTGGCCTACCCCGTGACACAAATGCACCAGTTAGGTATTTCAATTGGAGCCTCCTCACTACTTTAGACACTTATGTCAATTCCCATTATTGCTCTTACCAAACTTTTGCATGAAGATCGTCTTTAAAAAATTATGTCCTTAGACTTCCTTAGATTACCATCAACATTTTATTCTAATTAATTAATTAATTAATTTTTAAAAAAGATTTTTTTTTTTTTAAAGATTTTAT